TTTTTGTGCTGAATTGATAATAGGGCAGATACATCGCGGAAGTAAAGTAACCCAAACAGCAAGTTCACGATGTTAAATCGACTTTAAAAAGGGCTGGCAAACGGATTGGATTCTTGTTGTGTCGGCTGCAGTGGCTGCGGTAGCACGCCTACCCTAGGTCCAACACTGGGAATAGGCGGTACTGAAGTGGCCTGTGCTGCCCGCATTTCGTTTAAAGTCGGTGACTTCCGCTGCTGGGCTGCAAATGGGTTGGCAGCAGTTGACGTGCTTGTGAGAAGGAATGGATTTGCACCTGAAAGGCAGACGACATAATGAACTAGCATATCAATTAGTATTTTCCACTTTTTGAGGCATAATCACCACTATCTACAGCATGATTCGATATGGAAAAGAAAACGTAGAAAGATTAGGAGAAACTCACAGTTCGCATTGTTAGAGGATGACACACCCAGAAGGTTGTCCAAATTTACAAGATTCTTATTCTCTCCTAAGAAGTTTTCAGGAGTCTTTCGGGCTGTGCTGGTGCTCTGACCGTTTGTTCCACTTGTAGACTGAGCAGGCTGGAGAGAAAATATTTGGTGCTGGTGTCATTCATGAGTTTTCTCCTCAGTCACCTCGGAGTTTTGTGGCTGGTCGAGCTGTTGTTCCCAAGCAGAGAAAGGATCCACCGTAGAAGATGGGGCCGGTGTAGAATTAGAGGCGCTGGTGCTACCACCAAGCAAATTTGTTCCCGAGGAAGGAGCCCAGGGGTCGTTGTTCACCAACTGACCTGTAGAAAGCAAAATTACCAAACCATGAAATATCTCCCACAAAAGCAAAACTTCGACATTCTAGAAAGAAGAAACATCATGGAAATCATTTGAAAAGCGGATGGGTGTCCAAGGAATGAATCTGAACTCACCACTTGGATATAGATTACTTGAGGTAGTTTGAGGCGGAGAAGTAGTTGTGGCCCATGGATCTACCAAGCCAGTGTTTCCCCATGCATTAGACGACGATGTTGGTTGTTCGCTAGTAACCAGCTGAAAATCCACTTGAGAGATGCAAAAATGTCTGATGGGATACTTCGATCTCCCTTTCAATTGTGAATAAAAACATACAATATGTAGAAAAAATTTTTTTTCAATAACTTAGATGGAATACAGCAGCTTCTTGAGCTGTCAGAGCAAGAGCTCTAACGCATTACATTGAAGGGTTGAACCATTTTGAATCTATGTACCGTAGCCGAGCGAAAGCAAAACAATACTACCAATAATAAGTCGTACCTCTCCTACTCCAAGCGAGAGTAGGTCATCTAAAGCACTCTGCGTCAGTTGACCACTGTTGACAGTTTTCGGTTCCATCTTTGCCATTCGTTCAGCTTCTCGTTGAGATTCTTCGAGGGCGAGCTGGATTGATTAGATTGTTAACTAAGTTTTGCAACTACTTTTATAAATTCTCTCTTCGTATTAGATGCATTCAAATTTTGCCATTTTGTGGTTATAGCATAAGCTATAAGTACAGCTACAGTTCTGCCAAATTCTGACGTCGCAAAGAAGATTACGGTAGGTATACGGTGCAAGGGGAAAAATCATAGATTGCTACAAATTTGGCTGAAACTTCGCGGGGGTTATTTGACATGTTGATCACGAAAACGATGTTGAAATTGCACGATAGGGGCGTTTGGCACGATTATTGTAGGTTCACGGCATGGGTCTCACTCTACACAACAAAAGAGACGTTATGTGAACAAATGAT